CTTTTTTTTCTATTTATATAATAGATCTATATTATAGACCAATGTTTTTTTAAAACTCAAACATATTTTATGGTACATGCTGAAAAATAAAATAATTATGTGCATTTACATAAATGTATATGACGATGATTTTTAACATTTACTTTTTTAAATTCTTTATTTTTGTGAAACGGAAAACGTAAACACCTGTAATTAGGCATTCATCCTAAATGTCGTCTTGAATAAGGGTTATAGACATTGAGTCGACCAACAGGCGCGCATTAAAGAAACTTCTGATTTAACTAATTCATGACAAATAAATATTTTAGAAAAAATTGCAGCGTACATATGTTTATTTGTATGCAGTTATAACTTAGTTTAGGAAAGTAGTATAAAGTCGAAATGAGTTTATTTATAAATCATATTTAAGACATAAATAGATATTGCTGTCTAAACCCAACCTTATATTTCTAGTGAAAACCCCGCAAATAGTTACTTCATAACGACGTCACCAGTTACGTTTATATGCGGGTTTAATGCAGTATTCACTTCAGCAATACAGCATATATATATATATATATATATATATATATATATATATATATATATATATATATATATATATATATATAGAGAGAGAGAGAGAGAGAGAGAGAGAGAGAGATAGAGAGGAACAATTTTACGGGTATGTGTAGAAGAGGGGTGTGTGAATCTTCCCTCCAGGTGAATTATAGTTATAAGGGTCAACTAATTTTTATTTTTTTTTCAGTATCAATAGTTTGAATTTTTTTTTTTTTTTTTGTTAAAAAAAATTTCAAGCTATTGTTAAATAGTCCTAATAAATGACACAGTGACCTTTGTGCGGTTTATTAAGAGGTTGTGATCCGGATAAATTTTTAACTCCTTATTTTTGTTGATGTTGTTGTTCTTTAAAAATCTTTATAAAAATTTAAACTTTTTAAAATTGTTTAAATTTTTTTTAAATTGTTTTACATTGAAAACATTTACAGTATATAAAAAAAAGAAAAAAATCAAATATAAAGAATTTTAGATAAAGAATTTTTGTTAAAAATAGATTTAAATAAAAAGTTTTTGTTGAAAAAATAATATATGACAAATTCAAAACGCAGAAGCTCAAAGAAAGCAACAGGTTTAGTGATTAAGATCATCTAAAATTAAACTCATTAAATATGGTGAAAGAATATTCATTAAAGTTTATTATAAATGATTAATAAAAAAAATAAATAATAACGATCAAAAAAATGTTAAAAAATAATGTAATTGATAATAATAGCATTCCCATAATATTTACAAACTTTAAAAGTAGTCGGTAAATAAACGCGATATTTGGCAGAGATTTAAAAGTATAGTAATGTATTTATCAGTTGAATGAGTTTTTTTATTTAATAGAATTGAAGTTACGTTTTTGGAAGCAATTCCAAAAAGTCACGAACGGAAATATATATATGTTGTCTAATATTTTTAAAATAATATAATTGGCAATTTCTAATTTAACCTCATTTAATTCTAATCTATATTAATATTTTGTAAACAAAGAATGGTTTACATTAAAAATGTTATCAAAGAATAATTAAGTTTAAAGTGGAATCACGCACGGAAAAGAAAAATGCAAATTTTAGTAAGGGATCGCCCATAAAATACCTAGGCTCGGAGGGAAAAAGGGGTTCTGCAAATGGCGTATATGAGACGGGAGGGCAGTGGATCAATTATAAAAGAAAGGAGACACTAAATAAAAAAAAAATATCTAAAAATGTTGAATAAATAGGTTAAAAGCGTAGATACTTTTAGGGAAGTGAAGGGTATTCAAAAAAGCGTATTACAAAATGCGGGGGAGGGGTGGACAAAAAAAAAAGCGTACGTACTTTATGGACGACCCCTAAGTAGATAAAAAAACTTTAATCTCTCGAAAAATAAAAGTTTTAGCATATACATTTTTTTGTTTAAACAATATTTTAAATACTACAATAAATTATTAAAAAATTACAATATCTCACTAGCGTATCACAGTTGAGTTGACATCAATTTTCAAATGCGGTTCACACATGGTCAAGCACAGAAGTCACACATGGAAAATGCAATATTTTTTAGTTCCTCTATAATCAAAGTTAATACCTACTGCTTTCGAAATGGTTCAATATCTCAACTTAAAGGTATTAAACATCAAGGGTAACTTTAAACAGGTACCTAGTACCTAGCATATATTATTCTTCATATAAACCTTCATACTTCACAATTACAAAACATAGCGCCTTTAAAAAATTAAAAATTTTCTAATACTTTGATTTTATAATAACACAACCAGACAAAGGCAATAGAGTAAATATAATTAATCAGAACATTTATCTTAAAAAATGTATGAAATTGTTAATGACACATCCAAATTTAAGTAAAGACACTACCCTATTTAGAGAGGACAACTTCAAAGATTCCTTTTCAAAATCAAGAATAAACGTTTATTTATTGTAGACGAGTATAAAGATATTTATCCCACAAGCTCTAG